TCTGGGTACATAACGGATTTGATTTGTGACGGGAAACGAAAGCATGGAGAACAGGAAACTATCTTCACTTCGAAATAAGAGCTTGGATTTTAAAGTTTTCCATGTAGTTGCTCCAGTTGACCACTAGATGTCTGTCTTCGTCAGCATAACATCTTTAAATCATTTCTGGGTCTCTAAAACCGTTGGCCGATAGCTTCGATCAATTAAGTCAAGTATTTAGCTCCAGCGTTTAAACATTTTTTTTAAAAAGGAGCTCTGATTATAAAGAAAAATGAATCAATACATACAAAATTTTAGTATGGATTACAAACGTTAACTGTTTTGCTGGGACTTCTAAGCATTGCCTTCCTGCTACGTAAGCAGACACAAAGCATTGTGGGAAATGAGAACCGTGACCGAAAGCAACAGTCAGCAAAGATGTACACCTTCCCAATAAGTGTGTTTATCTGGGAGGGGAGCTGTTGGACAGATCACGTCTGTTGTGATTCATTGACAGCCATTCCTTCCGCTGTTCAAGATAATGGTGACTGGTAGGTAATTAGTTATTAGCGGTACTGCATTTTAATTTTAGAAAGCACAAATCCACTTATGAATTATAAAAATTAGTAAGACCACTAAAGCGCAAACGAAATATTTAGATCCGCAATTAGCGGATTTGCGCTTTAGCGGGCTGGTGCCCACCACTGCATATTTTTAAGCATATTTTTTTATAGTTAGAAAAGAATCTTCATCCATATACGAACTCACATTCCTCCTAAAACGCTAAAATATTAAAGCCAGGCCAATAAGTCTCCAACAACTTGGGTGTGAAAAAACTACGGTTGTTAATGCTTCGATGAAATATAAACCACATTAAAAGACAAAACAAAAAGTACAATTGTATGCCTATTGATTCTTCTAATTCCTACTCATTTTTTTATTTAACATTAACCATTTTATCTCAATGTGACCACACAATCAAAACTTAATGGTCAAAATCGACCAGTATAAAAATCTTTTAATCATGATGTGTCTGTAATTAGTAGCTCATCATGTTTAAACTGTCAAAACTCTTTTTGCAGCTGGCCTAGTGTTTACTTTGGTAATAATTTAAGTATTGTCTGGCACCATCACTGCAGGCAGAGGTTATTTTATGTACATTAGGGGAGGGGTATAGGTCGTTTCTCAAAAAGGGGGTGTAGGCTGAAAGAAACCATCCATCCGTTCATCTTGTGATTCATTTTGTTTTGAGTGTCAAGATGAGATAAGCTGTGGGTTGGGTGAGTAAATGAAAACAATCACTTACCACACCTTTGGTCATCACTCAGTCCTGTTCAGCTATGTGTTGTGCACTTTTCTTCTGTTGTCTGAAGAAAAATAACCCCAGAATACATTTTTATGTGCATCTATATCAAGATTTATTGAGGGTCCATGTGGTATTCTTTGGCTTCTGTCCAACCCAAAGCTAAATCTTAGCTTTGCAGATTTTAAAACACAATGAGAGGGAAAAAAAAGCAGTAGTCACCTAATATTAACACTGCTTTACTGTGGCTGTTTGGATCTGGAGAAGACCGGTTTATGGTTAGTCTTTCCTAACTATTTTAACTTACCCTATTTTTTAAAATTTAATTTCAGTTTCTTCATCTTAGAAATTATTGAATTTAACCCCTATTTACTTGTCATGCTTTTGAAATTGATGCTTGTTTAAATGCCACTCAAATACATGATTTGTAAACGTGAATTCTCATTGTAATTTTGAAGTGAAATCTGATAGGCTTGCTTGCGTTTGAATGAGAGAAAAATCCTAGAAGAAAAAAAAAACAGCAAAAAGATTGCAGTTTTCCGACCAATAACCATTCTTTGAAAAGTCTGACCTGCCAATTCTGATTTTGGCTGATACAGATTATTTATTTGAATAACTGACAGAGTTAGGTGTTATAAAGTCACAATACTTCTTTAATGTTCCAATCTTATTTTATTGAAAAACATTAAACAATGTACTTGAAACAGTACAAACTTGTTTTAGCTGGACATTAGGTAGTGCTTACAGCAAATCAAAAGGGGTCAGTGGCTGATTTTCAGACCTTTGTGGAGATAAGATAAGAAGCCAATTTTTCCACCAGTCTTATCTAAGTATTGGCTGATCTCCCAAAATTAAGGAAATTGATGCCGATAAATTGACTGGCTGATTTATTGGTGCACACCTACCAGTTACCGTTGTTTAAATAAAATGATTTTGGTTTTCCAAAGTGGATTTTTAGTCAGTATAATAGTAAGAAGAGTTATAAAACAGTTTTTTAATGCAAAGTTGCCATCCCCTACTCAATGTAAAATTAATTGTAGAATTACCATCTTTGGGCATTTCTATGTACAATAAGTCAGATGGTTCTTTTATTTTTTTATATACATCCTATTAGTTATTTGAATATAGAAATAAGCCAGTTTTTCTGTATTTATCCCTGGTTTAGCGTTAGTTTGCTGTCAATTTTGTAGTTAAGTTTTATAAAATCTGAATATTTTAAAAATGTGTTATCGTTTTACAGAAATGCTTCAGTTTGTATTTTTAAACCCTCAGCTGACAAGACTATTTGCTGTCATGATAAAGCTGTCATTTTAGGCCAGTGTTAAAGAGTGCTGCAGTTTTTTCAAGGGGATCAGACTTCTAAGAATACGAGCAACCAAAATAGCTTTTTATAGCTCTGAGAAAAAGGTACCTTAATGGGCCCCTCAGTGCTTGCTTCCAACGAGTGTCGGAAAAGTCCTTTTGATTTCTTATCCCTTTAAGCACACCGGTTAATCAAGATTTTTATGGTACGAGGTCTGAACAAAACTATAAGCATGGTGCTGAATAGGAACTTGAGTCAAAAGTTGCTGGTACTTTTCTTTTTGTAACATTCTGTTTATTTTATGAGACATTTTTCAAACTATAACAGTTTTTATTATTTTTAAGTATACCGCTCCAAAAACTTACATCCTCAGCTGCTAGTGCCAGGTCAAACCTAAGGGGGGAATTGAACAGTCGTTATTTTGTATGTATACAAGACCACAAATTGCATGTTAACATATTAGTCATATAACTCATTTTCCACTGCTTTCATGGGGCCCTCAGCTTCCAAGGAAAGAATATTTCCATTTCACTCTCCTACTAGTGTTTTTCTGGTCAAACTAAAGTCTCTTCTCTCAATCCCTCTAACTGTGGATGGATTGATTACATTCAACATTTCTTTGTTTTATTTTTGTGTGAAATTGGGATCATTTAGATTTGAACAGTTGCTTGTATGACACCAGTTGATTGATGGCTCTGCCATCAAAACTGCTGACTCAAGTAATTGTTGCTTTTTGATTTTCTGAATCATCAGGAAGTTAGTCATCATAAATGTTTTGCCTTTGACAAGTTTGCACTAGAATCCCTTCTCCGGTTTTGTCATTTTCTCCTTTCATTTTTTGTTTTTCATTTGATGTTTTTAATCTTACTTTTTTTCAATTGTGAAAGTGAATAAAAGACATTTCAATTAACTCTTTGGTCAGACTTTTGTTTACATTACAATTAGGGTTGGGCGATATAAGCAAAAAAAACAACAACAAAGATTGTGGCATTCAGCCAACATTTACAGTAGCATGTAGCTGATGTTGTGACCTTGGTCTGCATTTTCTGGCTGTCCTAGTACTTGGTGTTTCATGTTTGTAGGGTTAGGGTTTGCATTAGTTGCTCTGGACTGCCTTCCATCATTAGACTCACATGCCCGCCTGATAGTGGTATCACAAAAACACATTGTGACATATCACTAATTGCAGTAATTGGAAAGTCGCAAATATTAATTGTTGACAGATTTTCTGTCCGTTAATTTATATGAAATGATTTTACCCATCTGTAAGTACAACACAGATGAATTCTGACATTGTTAGTAGTATTGGTTAACCTCAAGTGCTTCACTAATGCCATTCTTCTTATATGTAGTCAGTTGAATTTTATTTTTTTGAATATACGTAGTCTTTTTTAAATAGCTTTTAGCTAATTAGACACCATAACATAATCCAAAGCCTTGTTTGAGATGGTCAGAAAGGTTAGAATTGTCCAATCTCTCCTTCTCATTCAGCCAACCAAAACTGCAAATACAGTATGTGCTTGGAAAAGTGAAACCAGCAGCCCATCTGTTCTTCGAGAATAGCAGCTGTTAGGTGACAGGACGCTCAGGACGAACTTGAACTCTGACATTCTGCAACAGGAAGTGTCATCCTTCATATCCATCCACTGTATCAGTTTTAAAAGCAGTCTGCCAATCAAAAACACACAGCTGCACATATACCTAGACATTTTCATCACGTCCTATAGTCGTTAACTGGACACGACTTAAATTAAAACTGGATCCACAACAAGTGCAAAAAGCTTGAGCTCCTATTTTGTTTGTGTGTGTCATTAAATTGTGCTTCCTGTTTGTTGAGATGTTAATTAAATATTAAATGACTGTCAGTTTTAGTATTTCTACTGTACTTTGCTGTTACCATTATGTTTGGTTGCTTTGATGGTGATGATCAAATGGCAGAATTAGAGCAAAATATTGTTCTGAGTGAAGCAGAGACCGAGAACAAAAATACAAACACAGAACATCTGTGTGTTTTTATACAGAACACCTAATCAGTTGAAAAATGTTAATTAAATCTCAGTCACTCATGTAGGCATTTCTAAAAGTTTCCAACAAGATTTCAACGCTTAGTGGCTGGAAGTCTTCATCTTTGAAAAACTAAACAAATTATTTATTTATTAGGCATAAAGTCTCTCGTCTCTGTTGAGAAGTGATTAAGGAAAAGCTGTTTTCAAAGTGTGCTGCAGCCACATTGGCCCGTCAGATGCTAATGATGTTTATGTGAACTGAATGGGGGTATGCTTTTCCATGTTGTCATGTTCAAAGGTTTTTCAAGAGGTTTTTAGTGTTGAATTATCTGGTCATTGTAGCTTATTGCCCAATGCTATGGACAATGATGCTATATCTTTGTTTTCTCTGCCTACTCTTTGTCCACAGATCACCAGAAACTGGAGCGGGAGGCGAGGATTTGTCGCATGCTTAAACATCCAAATATAGGTGGGTTGTCTTTTTGATTAGTTAACATCTGGGATAATTTAAATATGTTACGAGATGTAGATAAAACTGTTTCATGACTGCAAAAACCTTTTTCTTGTCTAGAGAATTCTGATCTGAAGTCCCACAAATACAAAACTGTCCTTGTCTTGTTTAAAATGGGCTTTACTTTTCACTGCTGCTTTTTTTTAAATGTATTTAGGGAATGCTTAAACAAAGTAAAACAACAGATCCAAAGAAATGAAGCCTAGTGATTATGAGGATTTTTGTTAGGGCTAATTATTGCTTTGCGTTTATTCTGTTTATTCTCATATGTTTCACAGGAAAGTGTTGTCTGACAGAATTAAGATTTAAGTTTCTTGTGAAACTTGTACTGTGTTCATAGGTTTTTCAACATCAAATGAGTGTAAATATGAATTATCAAGCCTTTAAAGTTTGAGAGCAATACATTTGAGGTATATTTTTTGAAGAGAGAACCAAAAAGATGACTTTTGGGACAAAACGCAATTCTTCTGCTAAGTTTTCTGTTTTTTAGGCTTAATTTTCAAGAGTTATTAAACCAAATTGACTATCACATTATTGTGTCTTCGTCCAAGGATGGCAGGCTAGATGAACTAAATATGAACAAGTTGGTCTACAAACAAAAACTGACTAAGCCTAGGGTTGCAGACATTTCAGGCATGTTCATTTCTTACTTTCACTCACTCGACCTCGTTGTTTTTATTTGAGTTGACTGACTTGACTTTTAAAGTCTGTGGGATTTGCTGGACTCATTATGTCTTCCGTTAATCCAGTATGGATGTGAAAATGGTCCTTTTCCCTTAAACCTAGAACTGCTGGTGTGTTGTTTCATTTTACACAGGGTGCTAGAGATTGGCATCAAATCAACTGTTTCCTCCTTGTTTGAGTTTCATTTCAGCCTCGTTCAGTTCAGACTATGCAGAACTTGCTTTTGGTGATGGTCAAACTAATCTGTTGCCTGCTACTGTTGTTATGTTTCTGTGTGGACATTTGAATAGTCCAGCAACAGCTAGGCAAGCACAATGAGTGTCCTCCAACAGAAGTCCAGTCAGCTATGTTCATCTGTGCTTTTTGTTTCTCTGAAGCTTAAGCTTGCATAGGTGTTTTCCTCAATGTTGCTTGCATCCCTTTATCTCTTTGAATGACTTAAATTTCTGCACCACTGGAAATCTAGAAGTCAACTTTGCTTGAAAAATGAAACGCGTCAGGAAACCCTGCCCTAAAGCAAAAGCTGCCAGATAGATTGAAGATTTATCAAGTCTAGAACTGTCTTTGAGCATTTTGAATCTGTAAAAACGTCTTACATCTTCAACCTGTCAAACCTTTTCTACTCATTGAGTGTAGCATTCAGAAACAATGGGCCTCATATGCAAGAACCGTTCGTACTCACAGATTTGTTCTTAAATTGTGCGTACGAGTGATTTAGGAGAATTTGTGGCTTTCACCAATGGGTACGGTGCGCAACGGTGTGGCTTCTGAACAAATGAAAATGATTTAACACAGTTGTTTATATTTTTAGCAGCTCTTTTTATTCCACAGCTGACCTGCTAAAAATAACAGATTTTCTTTTCTGGATCTCTGACAGACGGACTTCAATCTCTGAACTCGTAAAGTTTTTCTTATTAGTTTTCGCTGTCATTTTCACGAATGGACACTTCCTTGTATCTGAGGCAAGAAACATAGCCTTATACGGTGTTTTTGGGGTGGTATTTATGCTAATCTCCTCTCGCGTGCACGAGCAGCTGGATACAAACAGGTGGAATTTACGCAGCTCATTTACACCCTTTTCATGAAGATAGAAAAGTTTGTTGAATCTGACGTGACATGTTCATACGAACCCTTTGTACGAACAAAAGTAAGAGAAATTTAGGATAAGAATACGAACATGTTCTTGCATGAGGCCCAATGGCAGTGGTCTTTATGAGAGAAAGTAAATGGCAATGTTTCTTTGAAACATAACTGCTGATTCCCTATGTCTATGTGTGGACTTGTCCTGGACAAGTCCACACATAGACATGAAGAGTATGATAAAATCTTAAAGGCTTTATCCTCCTCCATTGTTGTCTTCTTCCACCATCCCACCCCTTCTCTAAATTATAATTTCTCAGGTACTCTTTTTTTTTTTAAATACAAAATATGACATGCTCTTAAAAAATGATAGTAAAGCACATTTTCAGACTTTTTCCAGGAACTGAATCACTCAGTTTCTCAGAAACAACATCTCATAAAGCATCCCCACACAGTTTAGAATTTGAACATGTTCAGACGGTTCCTAACATGATTTTAGTCATAGCTGTTCTGTAACCTTTACATTTTGTCTTTAACCTTCAGATTCCTAAAGAGGATTCTTTATCTTTGAGATAAATACAGACAGAATGTTACTGCTGCTGGTATTTTCTTTATTAGTACATGTTCAACAATATTAACATTATTTAGCAGAAGAATGCTATTTAGAGCAATGATAGTAAATTGAGCATCCACCTCATTAGTTAAAAGTAATCTTCTAGTTAGACCTTCTGCCTCAACATGTTCCCAGAAACTTCATTTTAACTGATGATTCGTTGAGGTTTATAGAAGTTAATTCACACAATCAGTGTTTGACCTAAATGACGGATTTTTAATTGAAGACTTATTTTTTTCTTTAGTGCGACTGCATGACAGCATTGCAGAGGAAGGCTTCCATTACCTGGTCTTTGACCTGTAAGTAAAACACTTTAACACAGACTCACACAGGCACCCTGCTCTTAACTTCAGCTTCACTTTAAAAAATAATAAAAAAGGTATAAAAAAACAGCACAAAGATGGGTTAATATTGAAAGTTTGTGACTTCAGAAGTTTATCTGGGTCAAGTTTAGTCCACGAATAAAATAAATAATTAAAATAAAGATTCATCAAGAGGGACATGGTCTCTTTATCACATGATGAAATGCTTTGGATAAAAATATCACAGTGAAGTGAAGATATTTAACTTCTGTTTTTGGAACTGCTCTGTTTCTGACACATTTTATACTTTCAGTCTATCTTCTAATGCAATTTCCTGTAATTGGGAGCAAGCACAAAATTCTAAAAACTGTCATTTTCATTGCAGTAAATAGAAATAGTTTTGCAGCACATTTGTTTTCATCTGCTGAAATGTAATTTACTATTATGTTTATCAAATGTCAGCTACTTTTACATTACCTTTATTTAATCAGATGAAACCGCTTTGAGATCAAGACCTTTTTTTACAAGGCAAAGAGGTCAGTCAGTATCACACATCATGAAATAACAGTTGAAACCTAATATTAGTGGTTTGTACTGATGCTTTACATCAAGAAGATATGGTCTCAATAGGATTTGTCTGGTTAAATAAAGGTTAAAAATAAAATAAAAGTAACAGTATAGAGTTAAAACCTGCAATTATTTTATCAACATACTTGGTTTTTAAGTTAAAGTTTATGTGTGTGATATAATTGCTTTTTTAACAGTGACTCCAATCTGCTTAAAAGCTTTAATGAAATCTTATTGGTCTAGTTTATGTGGTGCAAGAACAAAACATAGATTAAAAGAAAGCTTGTAAATGTTTTTTATGAATTGTTAAGTAGTTTCTGAAAGCACGAGTCAAGCCTGTAAAACTGAAGTAATGAATCTAATGACAAACATAACTCAAAACAAAAGTACACCTTTGATATGTTTTAATCGCTTTTTCTGTTGCATGTGTTCTTTGTATGTATATATTGCTTTTTTCTCTGGGATTTTCAGAGTTTGTAACAAAACTTTTCTGTCTGCAGAGTCACAGGAGGAGAGCTGTTTGAGGATATTGTTGCTAGAGAGTACTACAGCGAGGCAGATGCCAGGTATTATTTTTCTTGCACATGCAAACATTGCTTTTTCACAAGTGGTGCTTTCAGCCTTTAAAATCACTGTGTAACTACTTGTCTAATTGTTCAAATGGACACTTTTAGTGCCCAGTTTAAAATGTTGATGGCAGCTGTTTGTAAAAATCCATGCTGTTCAAACAGAAAAATGAAGTTCTGAGAGCAGAAAATGTTCTGCTGCTTGAATCTGGATTAATCCACTTTGCTGCTTCAGTAGCAGAAATGGAGCTCGTGGTTTCTGGCAGTACCAGTGTATGTTTTATTTCCAACCAAGTAACTCAGGTCTTTTAAATTTAATTTCATAAACAAATAACGGCAATGCTGCTCTTGTGCTTAAAACATATTTTGAGTTTCGAGTCAAATGTTGCAACAAAACCTGCTCTGTTAAACATTTGTCTAAGTTGTAGCAGTGTCTAGCCATAGATGAGAATTCAAAAGATGCAAACCACTTCGTGATCTGGTGTTTTGAAAGTTGCAACAACTTAAACAATATTAGACTGAGTTCAAATGAGTAAGATCAGCTGAACATTATATAATTTGTAAAAAAAAGAGGCAAGCAGAAGATGGAGTTGGCTGAGTGTGTAAAGGATTTGGGAGGTGAGTCAATTTTTAGCCTAATTTGGACACAACAGCAGGATCTTTCCTCTCCTTCCCAAAATTGTTTTCTCTGCATTTTTCTGCTGCTGACCCTGACTTCAACTTCACTGTTGCCAACTTAAATTTATTATTTAAAAACTGGCAGCATCTTTAACTGCACATTAGACCTGCAGAAGCACAGATATGCAAACTCAAGGACAAACTCCATAAAGACACTTCCTCTTCTCTGCCTCCTCTGCTTGCTTTCTCTTATTCAGCTCCTTTAAAACCCTGCCTTTTGTTTGCCCACAGGTGTAGCTTGTTTCTGCAAACTGTGGACTTTCTATCAGGAGCCTATCTATTTGATTAAGATGCAACAAAGTTTCATTAAATCTTTAAAAAATGCATGTCCAAGGTGAACATTGGGAATGTCTTCAATTAGGGATCTACAACATTTAAAATAAAATGAACATTTTTGCATCTAATTAACCCTCTAACATTGATAAACTTAAACTTAAATAAGGACCAGGAGAAAAGGGCTGATTAATATGCCAAACTGGTGGCGTGACCTTTCCTATTTTATCCACAATTTCCCCCTGAGCTGTTGCACGCATTTCCTCCTTTCACTCCACATCGTTCTTCGTTTATTTTGAAGCAGTTATGAGGCATGATGGGTTAATGCTGCTAACCTTGCTTAGCTGAGCTGTGAGGTTGAGCAGCCAAAGCCTTTCCTCTTCCTACATCCCCCAGTATTTGGTGTGGCTCTGCATCAGAGTTCAGTTAAATGATCAACATTTAATCTGATGGATTTTCCATTAGTATTGATCACGTGTTTATCACAAAATATATTGTTGTTGATTTATTGCCCAGCTGTAATTTTAACCACAATAAACTATCAGCATCATAGTTTTGGGTGTCATGACAAACTTCTACTAACAGGGAAAACATATTATCTCCACACATTTTACTACAAATGGTGTGGCTCAGTGTGAGCGAAGTGGAGTGAAACCTTAACGGCTTTAGTTCCGTCCACTTTTATATCAAAAGCACTAAAACCTTCTGTGCCTCCTTTATACCAGGTGCCCCATCAGCAGCCACCGAGGAGATACAGTTACTGCCTTTTTCTTTGCCTTTCAAACTTTTATTAACAGCCTAACAAAAGTTCTGCGGCCATGTTTGGCCTCTCAGAAGACGTGCACTAAACTGATAGCTTTTGGCACTCCATTAGAGTTCACATTTCTCCATGAAAGCCCTGTCTGCTCATCATGGTTTGCATCACTTGACTCATCACAGCCTATTAAGTTGGACAGGAGCGGAGTTGATGTCCTGACTTTGCTGAGTAGAGATGTTTGTTCTCACTTTAGTGACCCTGTCCTTGACTGTCACTGTAATTTTATCCATCCTTTAACAGCCTTTCGTGGCTTATTATTCCCGCAAACTTATCAGAAGTTGTTGTGTTTGGAGACTTTCAGCATAGAATAAGTATAGAGTTGCTTTTAGCAGCTTTCTTCAATCGGAAATTGAAAATCACATTTTTATTGGTAATCAGTAGCTTGTTTGTGCTGAAAGACCAACAGAACCAACACGTGGCTTTCCAGCCCATTTTTATTTTTAGCCATATTTTTTCATCAGATCAATAAAATAGGCCAAGCACTAAAGCAGGTGTAAGTAGAAGTGGCAATTATATTAAAGCATTTCTTTTTTTTAAGTAGATTGATGCAGAAAAACTAAAACTTATTAAAGTGTACATAACGGACCAAGGATGAGGACTTTTTGTTTTGCTTTGTGTAATATTTCAAAACGCTCCATTCTGCACCCTGCTGTCATCTTGCTGCTGCGGTTTGATCGAAGTGTTTTGTCTTTTGTCTTTTTCAGCCACTGCATCAATCAGATCCTGGAGAGCATCAGTCACATCCACCAGCATGATATTGTCCACAGAGACCTTAAGGTGAGCCACCTCGTTCTAGTGAAGATCATTGGAGGAGCTTTTATTTCGTCACGCAGACTAAATGTACAAAAGAAATTGTGCACACCAGCAACTGGAGTCTGATTGAGGATGAAAGGTGTTTGTGCCGATCCACAACAGGTCTGAGATTACACGCGCAGCAGACGTCACGCGGTGACGCTAAGAACAACTTGAGGGATCGGCGTCGTCGCTCTCCTCAGAGGCTTATTCCTCCCATTTTTCTGTTCCTATTCCATTTCTATAAATGCAGTCCCTCCTTTTTAACATCTGCCCACCCATCCTTTTTCTCCATCCCTCACCTCCCTCCCTCTTGCGCTGCTGGGAGTGACGAAAGCAGACCAGCTGCTATTAATAGCACATCAGTGGATGAGATGACAGCTGGTGACGATTTACCTCACAGAAAGATGTGGACACCCCGCCAACACAAACTCTGCCGCTTTGTGGTTTTTTTTACTTAATCTATGAAGATGTGATGGAAAAACTGCAAAAATGATCTGAAACTAAAACACATGACCTTAAATCATTTTACATTGTCAGACTTTTAATCTTTAAATAAAATATTACTGCTTGGTTTGGGAAATAATCAGTCCAATTAAAAAGATATTTTAAATGTATTTGTTTACTTCATTACTTGTTCATAACCAGATAGAAAGTTCACCAATATTTCAATGTTTGAATGTGAAGAGAGTTCATACAACCACAACAGTGCTGGACTGAAATGCAGGTTTAGTGCTTGTCTCTGCGTGCATTCAACAAAGCATTCAGCAAGTATTGTTAAAAATAACTACTTCTTCAAGACCTGACCCCGCCTCCAGGCATGACATCTTTTGGGGGGCACCCAAGGAGTTTATATAGAACAGCTGGAGTGTGCAGAAACCACGTGACCGTGTGATCGGCTGGTGAAGCTAATGGCTAACACAAAACGGGCAAGTCTCTGGATTTCCCATTACTGTACATGTTGACAACAGAGCAGAAAAAAAGGACTGACGGTGTAGAAATCATTAAAACTGTTAATAATAATATTAACCCAAGTATTATTAATATTTTACAGTTTATATAATCTATCTAATGTTTTAAATAATGTCAGAAAAGCTGTTTGTGTTATGGATTTATTAACAGAAGATAAACAGGAAAACATCTCATTTTACAACACAAGTCAGCAGATTTGATCTTATTTAGCTCAATGTGATCTGAGCAGAACATAATGTAACAGTTTAAAATTAAAATAATCTTATAAAGTCGCTGTAATCACTGTTATTTATTGAACTGGTTAGCAGATATTAGCTTGCGTAGCATATATACAGAGTGTAGTGTTGAATCATGCAACAATTTAACACAAACTATTAAATATTACTTTGTCCTCTGATTAATATTTAGACCTACAGAGTGTAAAATAATATTATAAATGTGAGTATTTTTAGGTTCCTGTTAGAGGAACCTGACCTGTTGAGAAGATGGTTAACTAATAGAGACAAGTTTCATCCTATAACCAGAGAACATTTTCTAACTGTTGACTGGTAAATATAAATATTCTTATTTTTATGACAGTAAGAAGAAATAATAAATATACTTTATTACAAGCTGAAGTCATCATTTTTCAACTAGCTAAAGTCTAAGTTACAGGCTGACTTCAGGTCTGGTTTAGATCATTGTTACTTATAAATTATATATATTTCTGGTATAAATCTGCTGTTTTGATTGTTGAATGAAATTAACATAGTTATTTATTGTAAAAACATGACAGATAATCTGTGAAACAGATCTGGTTCAGCTTGCTGTTTATCTTTTAGTTTCTATGGAGGCTGTGAGCTGTTGTCCTGTTAGGTCTCCGTTTCTGCTCCTCCATGCTGTCACAGACGCTACCAGTGTACAGTATGGGCGGGGCTCAGTCTAGTGATCTTATTCAAATCTATGGGGGCACCCTATCCCTGAGGGGTCAAGCCTCCAGACACTTTTCCTGCATCTAGTGTTAAAAACAGTGATTTGACAAAATGTTGTCAGTATCTTCAGGCACATATCTGCTAAATAAATATACTTCCTGCCCTGTGTAGCCATATTTTATAGCCACCCAGACCAGTCTCTACATAAAATCATCAATTTAATCTCAAAAATAATCACACAATAGTTTATAATAATATATCATGTTTCGCCTAAGAACAACTACAGAATGTGTGGTGCTTTTAAAAACCAGTAAGTAAACAAACCCCAATAAACTTCTCCACAATGGCTTTTGTTTGAAAGTTTAAAATTAAGTGATTTTGGTATGGGAGAAGACTACAATCAAGCAACCTCTGAACCTGTGCTTCCAAAATGACGGTCAACAGAAAGCTTGCACGGTTTTGTTGTACGTGTGAACAAGCTGTGTTGCAGTGGAAAGCCTTGTGAGGTGCTTTCAAAATGTAATTTATACAAACGACGTAGTTCCCCTTGGAAAAAAAACTATGGTAAACACTGAGAGCTTTCACCTGCCATCAGTCAGACAGGACAGCACGCCCTGCTCTTCTCTGATTGGGTAAAACGTGTTTCTCTTTATTGTTTGAAAGAAGTGTCAGTTTAACGCTTCTATCATGATTGATTGAATGACTTTAAGAAAAAAAACCTTTTTTTCCTCCCTTCATTTTCTGATGACAGAAATCTATTGTGGCTGTGTCAAACTTAAATCCATGAAATGTATGGAATGCTTTTTGCAATCATACAAAGAACTGCAAGTTCTACAATAGTTTCATTTGAAACTTCAAACACTAACATTGTTCATCTGTTTTTGGCTTTTAATGTCCTCATAAAATCTCTGAAAACTTAATAATTATTGTCTCAGAGAAGACAGTTCAGGCTTTAGACCTTTTATCATTATTGCAAGAAGAATTTGAATAATGTCTACTTCGGATTGTTTTACAAAGAGTCTCAAAATCCAAAGTTTGGGAACAAACTGTGCTGACAGCATTTATCAGATGTCTTAAAGACATTAGCTCAAATGGAGGGTTTTAGACACAATGGGCCTCATGCAAGAACATGTTCCTATTCTTATCCTAAATTTCTTACTTTTGTTCGTACAAAGGGTTTGTATGATCATGCCACGTCAGATTCAACAAACTCTTCTATCTGCATGAAATGTGTGTAAATGAGCTGCGTGAATTCCACCTGTTCGTATCCAGCTGCTCGTGCACGCGAGAGGAGATTAGCATAATTACCACCCCAAAAACACCATATAAGGCTATGTTTCCTGCC